CTCCCCTCCCCTCCCCTCCCCCGTGACTCGCCTTCTGACTCCTGCCCCCATTCCCCCCAATTTCATAGGGTATGTCTACAATGGAAACTTCAAAACATTGCTGTGGGAACGCTCCTGCGGCAGCGCTTTGAAGCGCAAGTGTGGTCATGCGCGAGCTCTCTCCCTAGCGCTCCTGGTAATCCACCTCCATGAGGGGATTAGCTCCGAGCCTGTCTACACTAGCGCTTTAAAGTGCTCAGACTTGCTGTGCTCAGAGGAGTGATTTTTTCACACCCGTGAGCCAGCAAGTTAGAATGCTATAAAATGTAAGTGTAGACATACCCTAATAGGCTTCCAAGAGGTGGGATAATGCTTGGAAAATTGAAATAGTCCCAGAGATGCTGGGTTGGGTGGCAACTCAAAGATCCACTTATGGTGTAACTAATCTCTGAAATTTCAACACACACTGGCAGATAAGTTTCCTCTTTAACTATCTGTAGTAGCTCCATAATCTCCTGAGGCAGATCATAAATTAGAGATGGAGAAAACTGATTAAATAACTCACTCAATTTCCCTGCCACTGGAGGGAAAATTTGTGCATATGGCAAAACTACCTAGATTGGTGAGGGCCACCAATGCTGCTCCTCATCCCACAGTTGCTTTAAAGGGACTGTATGGGAAACACCCATTTAATTCTAAGGAAAGGTCAGCAAAGCAATGCCTCAAACCTTCCAAAGTGTGTCAACACATCCAGAGGAGATTCTTTCCTAACCCTGGCCTGGAGGTTATTTAGGCCTTGATTTTATAATCAGATCTAGGTGGGTGAACCCTCACATCCATGTGGAACCCCTTTGACTTCAGTCTTGGAGTATATGGTCTCAATTATTATGAATGCACATCCAAGTGGTAGGCCAGTGGAAGCATCTAAACTGTTTAAAAAGATGCAGAGTTCATTTTCTGGTCACATCAATATTGCTGACTCTCTTTTTCTGCCAGTTTTAAAGCATACCTGTTTCTGGAGGTATTCACAGAATTTCCTTAGCAGGTGAAACCAAGTCCCTGCCTAATGTGAAATAGAGGTGGTCAATAGCTAAATTTTGTTTTTTGTCTGTCTGATTCGTTGTGATTATCTGGGTGATCTTTGCTTAATGACTGAAACTTCAGAATTTTTTTCCAACTTCCTTTCAGATTTTTTAATTAGAAGTAACTTCTGAAGGGAAACTGGAAAGTAAAGATGGTAGATGGGAAGAAAATTATTTATAATAATAATTAACACTAAAACTGTGTTTAAAGACAACTTATGTCCTGTCATCCAAACACCGTTTTAGGGTCTGATTCTACAACTCTTGTTTTTGTGAGTAGTACCATTTGAAGTCAATGGGATTAATCCTAAAAGGACCACTCGCATGATTAAGGGTATTATTGTCAGGCCCTTAATTTTTAGTGCTGCAGAGAAAAGGAAAACAGTGGAAAATACTATACATACATATTTTCAAGCTGATAATACAAAAACCATGATGATAATTCCAACCCTAAAGTTGAATACACATTCATGAACACTACACATACAATTTATGACATTGGGAGAGTAGCTTTTAGTAAAATGAAATTTTTGTACTTGAATTCACTTTCAGTTTCCTCTGAAGTTCAGTGACAAAACTCCCATTCCCTGCAGTGGGTGTAGGATTGAATCCTAAATCTCTCTCTTTAATTTGGAGTCATAAAGGCACTAAATTAAAAAAATAAAAAATTGGCATGGTTTCTCAATTGGATGTAATTATTTTTACAGTCTGCTGAAAAAGAGGCAGAAGGTTTTGATTGTTCTGTTTTAATTGAATTTTGTTGTTTGAAATCCCTTTACATCTTCCTAAATGAAGAGGAGCATCTGCTGGGAGGAGTTACCTTTTGTGGTTCTAATTCCAGACTACCCAGTTTTAGTATCATAGCAACAGACTTCAAATGAAACAGTGCTGGTTGGCATTCATGGGCCCTGATCCTGCAAACTCTTACACGTTATTAGTTTCGTTGAGTTCATTTGGATTGTTCACGTTTGTAAAATTGTTGAGCACAAGTGTTTGTAAGATTGGGGTTCTAAAGTCGATGAACCAGTTGTGTTTGGAGGAATTACAGCTGTGATAAATATTTAATGAGTATTTTTCCTCCTTCACCCTCAGCTCAACCCCAGTGTAAGTGTATTTCAAAGAAAATTTGTGGTTGAAGTGAAGAAGTGTGAAGAAATGGAAAGGATACTTGGTAAGCTTTGTTTTAATATTTTAATTTCTCAAACTAATCTCTTAAACTATGTCTTTACTTAATTAAAGTTTACGTAATCAGAGTACTACTACATTGGAGATCTTATTTATCTGTGTTCTTTTATTATGCTGATCACAACAGAATTTGAGCACTTTGAAATCTGAGACTTTCTTTTATATATTCTGTAGAGTCTATGATGGTTAGAAGTTTGGGAATCAGAATGGTTCAGCGAATAGGTCACTGTACTGAGAGTGAAAACAAATAGATGTTTCTTAGACTGGGTCTATGCTACAGTTGCTATGACGACAGCTACTGTGCTGCAGCTGTGCCATTGTAGTATCATAGTAGATGCTTCCTACGTTGGCAGAAGGGTTTTTTTCCATTGGTGTAGTTAATCCACCTCTCTGGGAGATCAACAGAAGAGTTCTTCTGTCGACCTAGCTGCATCTACACTGGGGGTTAGGTCAACCTGTGTATGTTGCTCAGGGTGTAAAATTTTTTACTGGCCTGAGTGACATAGCTAGGCCAATCGAATTTTTAGGTGTTGTCCAGGCCTTATTTTGGTATTGACACTTTGTGTTTCCTTGGGCAAGTCACTTAACCTCCCTGTGCCTCCAGTTCTCCAGCTGTAAAATGAGTTTAGTGATGTCTGTTTACCTTTGTAAAACATTATTTAAGTGCCCAGTAAATATTTTTAATAAAAAACATAGGGTGGTAGAAGACTTGCTAAACCCTATTGCTGATAAATTACTGCAACTGTTTCAACATAAATTATGTTTAAAATGCTGGTTAAGAAAATGGAACTTTCTCTCTAGAATGAATTCCTTAGGAATTAAGTAGATTAGTGCACAAGGTGGCCTTCAGCTATTGAACTTTCAAGCACTCCTGAAAAATAGCCTTCTGTGCCCATAATTACGTTCATGTGCTAGTAGATTAGTGGTAACTAGATTTTTTTTAAAATGGAGTTTCAACTTGCTTCCATTTGTTGTTGGAAAAATATCATAAATTCTCTTTATGGAAATGTTTTTGCTAACCTCTTATGAGCTGTTTGTTTAGGTCATGTAAAACCCACATTCTTTTCGTACGCTTAGTAGCTGTCTCAACTCTTCCGTTGCTCTGCATGTGTTGCATTTATTGTCAAGGCTACCCTTGCCACCTACTTTGAAGAATCTTTTCTGCACACATGGATCAGTGAGCAGGACATCAGTTTTTGCAGAAGGCATGATTAGGGGAAGGGAGTCTCCTGAGGAGGTATCATGAAATGTTAAAAGTTTCTCAAGGTCCTTGTGACTGACATTTTTCTGCAAAGACTTAATGGCTGAAGATATTTAATTCCACAAATACTTAAAAGAAAATTATGCCTTGTATGTTAAATGACCTTCCCCCTCCCCCCCCCCAATAACTCCATCACCTTGTATCCCTTTTAAAGGTCCTCCGTACTCACTAGCTTGACAGACTATATCAGAATCAGAAAAAGATAAGATCTGTAGAGCCTGATTTTGCAATATCCTTAGAGCTCTCAATGACTGCTGACAGGGTACTCTGTAGCTTTCAGGGGGTGTTCAGGCATGTTTGGACCCCTAAGTAAGTTATCTAGGCAATATGTTTTGAAAAACATTGCATAATACAATTCTTTTTCCAATTCTGTTTCTGTTCTTATCCAGGATTTCTAGTTCAAGAAATTAAGAAAGCTGATATTCCTCTTCCTGAAGGAGATACTGCTCCGGCTGCCCCTCATCTTAAACACATGTTAGAAATCCAGGTAACTCTTTAAAGAATTTTACAGAAATGAAAGGGTAGGATTGGATCTTGGAACTGAATTTTGTTTTCCTTCATTTTGGAACAAATCCTGAAAATTTGCTGTTCTCCTTTACTAAACTGCATGCTGCAGGTGCTCAGTGCCTTTTGGTATTTGACCTTTATGTTTTTAACCTAACCGTTCTGTGCTTAATGCTGCTATCAGGTTGGCATAACTTAGAAAAAAAAATGTCTTTACTTCGCGCTCAAGCTTTCCCCTCTGTAGCTTTTTCTCTTTCAGCCAGTGATATGCTAGAGACTGGCGTGCAGATGTGGTATTGATGTGGGCTTTTCTGTGGCAGAGCTAAAGTTAACTCTTAATTCTTTGTCTTTTTAACTCAGAGCTTGTTGGCATCTCTTGTTTTGACATACTGAGTATGCTGGTTTACCTGACTTGTCAGGATTCCCAAACAAATTGTTAACTAGTGTGACTGTAATCTTTTAGTCTTGTAGGTCACTTTGGGAATGTACCCAATATTGCAGTCCTTTAGCATATGGAGGTCAGTGGCAGTTGTGAATGTGAAAGTTGAGCAAGCAGCTGATTAGTTTAGATGCGGTTGAATTGATTTCTATTTACAGTATCTCGGTAGAAACAATTGTTTGTAAAATGCAGAGATGAGTTGAATGTCAGGGGTGGCCAAACTTACTGGCCTTTCAAGCCACATACTAAAATCTTCAGAAGTTTAAGAGTGGGGCAAGCCTGCTGGGGCTCGAGGCGTCAGCCCTACAGGAGATGCCTGCTGGGGCTGAAGCCCCAAGCCCCCACAGGTGCGCCCCATGGGGCTGAAGCCCTGCTATCCCACCGCAGGGCAGAAGCCCCAAGCTCCTCCCTCCCCAAGTCTGGTAGGCAGAGAATGAGGGGAGAGCAAGGGGTTCTGTGAACTGCACTGTAAAAGAGCTGCATGCAGCTTGTGAGCTGCAATTTGACCACCCCTGGTATGTTTTATAATCTCTCATTCAAAATTCAGTCATTCATACCGTAAAACCTTTTAGGACCTAATTCTGATTAAGAGCTGTCCAGCTCTGGTACAAGCTAAGGATGCACAGAGGCAGCCCTAATTTATGGTACTGATGCCAGTGGTGTATCAAGCCTACACAATGCAAAGTGGAGTAGGCAGACTGAAGGATCCAAACCTTAGTGCTTAATAATTAAAACATTGGGAATCTCTTGCATCAGTGAGGCAAACTTATAAAGTTTTAAATATTTCTTATTGTGTGAATATAGATGTTAGATCTTTTTAGTGAAAAAAGCTAGTAAGATATGGGATTGTCTTACCTTTCCTTGCAAGCTAAGTAGGGATTTAACTAAGGACTCTGCAAGTGTCTAAACATACAGAGTTTGCATTGAGAAATCTGGGAATTGAAAGCATTCAGTACTTTGTATAGATGAAACAAAACAAAAGAGATCCTGGGCTAGAAAAAGATAGCTGGCCAGATTTTCTGTTGGTGTAACTTCCGTCAGGGCTGGATTTAGGGGCAGGAGGCCGCCTTGGGTGTTGGGCTTGGGGTACTGTTTTTGTTGTTAGCGTCTTATATGACCGGGATAAATCATGCATACAAATCGTGAGACAAAGTAGTGAAATGGTCTAAAAATGCAATAAAAAATAAGGTATTCAAAAGTTTAACAAATGGGGTGCGGGGGGAGCTGAAGACGCTCCTCGTTTATGGCGCCATTTGGTCTAGGGCTGGCCTTGACTCCAGTGACGAAGGCCCCGATCCTGTAAACACTTAGGTATGTTTGTAATGTTACTCACTTTGTCAGTCCCATTGATTTTGATGGGAATATTCATCAGTAAAGTTATGCATGGGTGTATTTACAGGATCTGAGTATAACATTATAAATTTTTTTGAAAAGGAGCCCTAGACTATGTAATATAAAAACAAAAGGGTGATTGGATAACAAGTTGGACACTTTTGGATAGTGAATGTGGGAGAAAAGGAAGGAAAATAAAGGATGTGTCTTTGTATTTATTCTGCAACTGAAAATAACTTTCTTCTTTGAGGATTTAAATAATTTAAGCAGAGCTGGAAGTTATTCTGATTTCAGTATCTTGTCATCATCTTCTGCCAAATGTACTAATAGGCATTTTTCACAGATGATTTAGATTACAAGATTTATTGTAGCTCTTACTTAAATTAAAATATATAACCAGTAGCAAATAATTTTTGGACTGTTTCCTTTGCTCTTACTTTCAAATGAATTAATTGGGATGACAAAATGTCAGTTCTAGAATAAGCTGTAAAAAATAGACTGCTAGTTGACTGTATTTATTATCAGAATAAATGGTCAAACATTCCTTATTTTAGGTACATATATTGTGTAATTTGACCAGATTGAAGACTTAACTGTCTCTGATGCTCTCCTTGTATTTTTTTTTTTTTTTTTTTTTAATGATCATGTTTGGTAAAAAGCATTAAATAATTAGAAATAACTATCCCCAACTTTCAATGGAGAGGGAAAGTGATACAGTGTCTTTTTCCATTTTTTAGGAACAGTTGCAGAAGCTCGAGACAGAATTGAGGGAGGTGACTAAAAACAAAGAAAAGTTGAAGAAAAACCTGCTTGAGTTGACAGAGTACACATACATGTTGCGGATCACACAAACCTTTATCAAAAGACCCGTTGAGGTACTGTGTATACTCCATAGGGAAGATTGTATTTTCAGGGAAAATTCTGTCTTATAAGTATATTAGTAATTCTATAACTTGGAAGTCTTTACAACAACATGCAGTGTCTTGTCCTTTATTATTATTTCTATTGTGTAGCTCCTGTAGATCCCAGTCAGGGAGTGCGAACCCATTGTGCTAGGCTTTGTATACACATACACAATGTAAAGGCAGCCCCGCGCTAAAGAATTAACAGGTTAAGAATCTAGTCATTGAAATGCTTTTATTGCAGCCTAGTAGAAATTGGATGAAGGAATGACTTGACTTTTTATATACACAAGTTGCGGTTAAAATACTGTCATAGAATCTTTGCAACAATATTTTTGAATGCTGACAAAAGGCTGTTTACCTGAGATCCTGAAACCTCGCTTGTCTGAAATCCTATATGGGACATTTTTTTTCATTGAATTTTTAGTTGGTTTTATGATATCAAATTGACTAAAATATTGAACTTCCTGAGAGTTATCTGTATCTTTTGTTTCTCAGTATGAATCCTGTTTACATGCCAATTATGAGGAATTCCCATCTTTAGAAAATGATCCTTTGGTGGACTACACTTGTATGCATCGGCTGGGTGCCAAGCTAGGGTAGGTAACATTAAAATACGTGAACAGAAATCTTATTGGTCAAGTGTGGCAGATCAAGCCTTGATGCACTGTTGTAAAACTACTCTAAATATTGGGCCAGATCCTCAGCTGATGTAGCTCCATTTACTTCAAGTGAGCAATGCCAATTTATATTAGCTGAAAATCTGTCCCACTGTGTCTTAGACTTACCGGGCCAGATTTTGACATTAACTTAATAGCAGTAGGATTGGCCCCAAAATACTACCAAAAATCTTCATTAAACTGATATACATTGTGCGTAATACAAATGCTTTGCGTATAATAATAGAATGCAATGATCTAGTGTGGTGCCTTTTTTATCCCAAGGTAATTACGTAGCATTTTAATGAACTAGTAATGATGACATGAAAGTTGTAAAGATAATAAAATGTTTAATACTTAACACATACATATTTTCAAAGTGATGTACAAACACAAATCCTCACCACTCTTCTGTGAAGTAGGTAATATCACATTTTGCAAATGGAAAATCTATGAGGTGCAGAACAATTGAGTAATTTGCACCTGGGTACAGAGGGAATTTGTTGAGCTGGTTCACAGATGTGTGCTCAGACCAGTACTCTACATTTTTCTTCCCGATGTAGAATGTACTATTTGCGTATTGGTTTCAGAGAGGTCGCCGTGTTAGTCTGGATCAGTAAAAACAACGAGGAATCCTTGTGGCACCTTAAAGACTAACAAATTTATTTGGGCATAGCTTGCGTATTGTACATTGTAGAGTGGAAATAAAAGAAAATTGGTTAGCATTTGTTTGGTATGACATTTTGTTCTATAAAAATTCTGATGCTAAACTATTATAATTAGTCGTCTTAGAGAAAATATATTGTCAAGTTTTGGTTTACTCTTATAACATGTCTGTTTTTATATAGATTTATATCTGGTTTAGTTCACCAAGCAAAAATTGAAGCATTTGAAAAAATGCTATGGAGAGTCTGTAAAGGATATACCATTCTTACTTATGCAGAGCTGGATGAATGTTTGGAAGATCCAGATACAGTGAGTAAACGTCATAGCTACCATTTCATTATGTTTACTCATCATACAATTAGATAAGATGATTCTCAGGGGAGGGGTCATTAGTCGTCCAGCAGTAGATAAAAAGGGAATGTTAATGAGTTTTCAATATCCTTGGGAATTAAAACAAAACAAAACAGATGTTGGTCCTGATCCTGTTATCACTGCAGGACTAAGAATCAGCAGTTTCTGTAGTTCAGCTTGACATATGTGGAGTCTCATTGTGAAATGGTGATGGTTTTATGGCAGGATATCCTGAGTAAGGTACATGGCATTAATGACTACTTAGGTATTTATTAACCAGTCATGTACAGTGCTTTAAATATTATATAGTTTTTTTTAATCTGCTATTACAATAATAAAGGAATGTTTGATCATCTGCAAAGATTTTTTTCTCTAAACTTTAAAACATTAAAAGATTCTACGTTAAGACTGCCTCACACTGCTGTACTCTGTTTTCTCTATTGAAAATATTGTTATGGATCTAATTTGTAACACTATAGTTCTTAAAGGGTGAGCTTTTCTTGTACTACAGATATTTCTAAGGTGAATAAGAAAAAGAGTAGAAAAAATTGATTTCTCTTTTATCCCCTCTCAAAAGGTGTGTGTTAATCCAACATAAAGAAGAAAAAAAAGGCACCAACACATTTTCCTTTTCAGGTCTCTTTTAAGAGTATGTGAATTTTATGCTGCTAATGGTGTTTCTCCTGTTATCAAAATTCATTATTTTGCTTCAGAAATTTTGTAAAATTTTGCCTTTTCGACCAATAAGAGTAACTGGCAATCAAATATTGTCAAATTGTGGTGGAATTATAAATCATAATTAAAACAAACAACATCCATTTATTTGTTTATTTTTAGGGCGAAATCAGAAAATGGTTCGTGTTTTTAATATCCTTTTGGGGTGAACAGATTGGCCAGAAGGTTAAGAAGATATGTGACTGGTGAGAAATAAAACTAATTTCATTTTTACTGAATATTGAATAATGTTGTTTAGGTTTTGCTTATGGTGACTATTTCATTACTTGGGTATGCTGATTTCATGGGACATTTTTGAAGATTGAATTTTCATTATTTCTGCTTGTTATTTTTCCAATTGTAATCTAGTTTTATAGTTATGTAATGTACAAAGAAATGTCCAAATCCTTCTATCTAAGATCTCTATTCAAGTATTTAATTTAAGTATGCAACTAAAGAGTGACCTTATCAACTGGATATATGCTAACATTTCTATTGTTTCCTATTTGAATTTTGACTAAAGGACTTAGGGCCAGTCACCTTTCATTGAGGTCAAATGCCAGTCTTTCCATTGACTTCAGTGGAATTTGAATTAGGCCTTTAATGGGTCAAATTGTATACTGTTTAGTGTTTTCATAAGTCCTGTTTATTTTTTTTCTTTGTCAAATGTAAGCAGCAGTCTTTTTTGATTAATTTTGCAGTTTCCTGTTTTAGTTTTAAAACCATTCACTGGCAGTACTTTGGTTCAGTATCTCTGCTTTTGTTAAGTAGGCCAAATAACAATAGAGGGGGAACAAATACTACCTAATGCTTTTTCATTTGTAGTTCTCGAAGAATTTTACAAAGGAGGATAAGTACATTAGTTTCCCCATCTGTAAAATGGAAACAGAAGCACGGAGAGGGTTAGTGATTTGACCAGGATCATACATGGTCTGGGGCAGAGCTCTGAAGAGAACTTAGATCTCCATACTCCCAGTCCGGTGAACTATCTACTAGACTATGATTAAATCAAAAATACAGAGAGCTGTTTTAAAACCATCAGTAAAATAGATTGTGAATTGTCTGAAATTAATAAAAATATTCAGGTGATTTGGATAGTTGAATGGAGTGAATTCTGAGAATTAGGGAGGGAGTAACAACAATGGCATGTCGAAGTTCTGTGCAGACGTGATCCAAAACCTCAACAATCCTTAGCCCTTACCTGCAGTGTCCTTCTCTAGTCCTGGCCCTCTTCTGGGCAGTGACTGCCAATCATGCCATATTATGTGGTGATGTGTTATAGTGCACATGGGGACTGAGACCAAACTTCTTATGATCCAAGATCTGTGAAAGGGAAAGGTGGTGAGTACAGCAACCCAATTCATCACCTATCTATGGCCTCTCAATATTTTTCACAAGTTTTCTTGGTCAGGTAAGACTCACACCTATAAAAGCTGATCTACTCCTTACAGATCTTTTTCAAGTGCTTGGGTGTTTAATTCAGGCGTCTATATTTTTTTCCTTCAGCTATCATTGTCATGTATACCCCTATCCCAATACCACTGAGGAGCGCAGAGATGTTATTGAAGGACTAAACGTTCGCATTCAGGATCTTCATGTTGTGAGTAAAATGTAACTAGTACCTTCTTCATTGAAGATATTGGAGCATAGATAACCACTTAGCCCATAGTTGCAGTATTAATTATGTTGATACATCTATAATTTGATGCTGTGTACTTATTTTTTTCAAGTGCCCAAACTTTTGTTGGTAAAAGGTACTGGAGATTTTTAGATATGTAGTAGTTGTGTGGTAAAGCAGTCAGAACAAAGGACTAGAGACAGTAGGATGTGATCAGGAGCAAGTCACTTGAAAATCATGACCTGGTTCAAAACTAGATATTGTACCTGAGTTGAGTTGACCTGCGTAAACACCTTATAAAAAAAGGACAATGATGGTAACAGGGTTATAGAAGGAGAAACATGGGCTAGTTGTCAGAGCACAGGATTGTGAGCCAGGGATTCCTAAATTCCTATCTATGATCTTGCACTGGCAGTGTCCTTTGGCAGGAAACTTAACCACTTCATCTAATTCCCTTTCTGTAAAATGGAGATGTTAATACTTATGTACTATCACAGGATGTTAGAGATTAAATTAGCTAATGTTGTACTGTGCTTCGATGGTTAATAAATATTTGATAAATTACATATATCCAAAGTGCTTTGCCAAACTTTAAATACTATTTAAATACTAGAGTCTTACTAAAAATATGACAAATATACTTCAAGAATTAAGCCTACATTTTCAAAAACCTTCCTTTATCTTTTAATTCTTTTGTAATGAGTTGTTTTTATGAATTAATTACATTGTGACATATTTATTTTGATGTGTTAAATAAAGGGAGTAAAGGAAAAAGGTCAGTGATGAAGCCTTTCTCCAGGCTCTCTCCTCTCTTTTTTTGCAAAATAGCTAGCTTTCCATAGTACTGTAAAAGACTGAGTTGATGTTGTCATGCTTGAAAAAGAAAAAACACACTTTTCCAAGGCCTTGCATGAGCTTCTGTAAATTGGGCTTCATTTTCAGAATGTTCAGCACAAGGAGGATGAGGAAATAATACTTGGACTCCACTAATGTATTCTGCTTTATTCAATCTTACCGTTATGCCAGTATGGTGCTCTGCTAACTTCACTGAAGTTTCACCTGGGTACCAATGTCCCACCCATGCACATCTACCTGTAGAGGAAGAACCTTAATCTTGCCAGTTCTGTTTATTGTAGTTCAAGGGCAGCCGTAATAATATTAACTACCACTTTCAGCAGCAATTCCGTTTTGACTTGCAACTGGCCACCTCTTCTACAGAAGTGTGACTTGTGCAGATGACAAGTTCCACCATACAATGCTGCAACTTGATCCAAGCGATGGATTGCTTGTATCAAGAATGGCACATTATTTGGTAAGAACTATAGTCTCTGTGGTCTGCATCTCTGTATTAAAATCAAGGCAGCTGCAATTCCTTCCACTTTATGTAGGTTAGGTCTGTCCTTGGGGCTCTTAGCAAGCTAACAATATGATCCATAGTTGGGCAAAGTTTTGGTGCTCCTCCTGTAGTAAAACTTTCATCTACATTTTCAATTACCACTAATTTTTCCTTTGACAAAGGTGCTGCATAAAACTGAGGATTATTTACGACAAGTATTATGTAAAGCATCAGAATCCATTTATACCTGGGTTATCCAAGTGAAGAAGATGAAAGCCATTCATCATGTACTAAACCAGTGCAGTTTTGATGTCACAAATAAATGTTTAATTGCTGAGGTTTGGTGCCCAGTAGCTGATCTGCCAAACTTGCGTCGAGCACTCGAGGAAGGATCAGTAAGTCATTTTATGTGGTTGTGTGCACACAAATTCAAAACTTTGAATGTTTTGAGCCAACAATAAAGATAAGGAAAGAAATAAAACAATGTTACTTGAGAGGGAAAAGAGCTGGACATAGGTAACTCCTTACAGAGGTTAAAGGGCCCGTGTGGGCTCTTTCCAACACTGTAATTGGGTAGAACCCTTGTTGGTATCAGTGGGAGTTTTTTTGAGAGTATGGACTGCAGGATTGGGCTCAAGGAATGAGTTGGCTCACAAGGCCATATGAAATCACCCTAGAAGGCACTAATTTGGCTCGTATAAAATGATAAAATTAGCTTTGTCAGAATAAGCTTGGCGTTACAGTAAATTAGACTATTTGTAATAGCAAATCTTGACTTTGTTACAGAATATGAAATCAGATAATAGATACTTATGAAACAATTTGTTTTCTTTCTGTAAAAAGATTTAAGTATAAAATGGTCATTGTGGATATTTCTAGTAGAAAGAGAGGCAAATGTTAGACTTAGTGCACTTGAGAAGATTGTTGCAGATTTGAAAGTTACTCAAACTGCAGTGTACCTCAGATATAAGAAAGTAAGTTTCTGTTATGAAGATAAGTACCTTACAATTTCTGTTTCAGTGGAGATTGTCAAAATCAAAATAATATCTCTTCTGGGTTAGCAAAGTACATGTCCAGTATGATTTAATATAATTTATTTTTTGTCCCATTTCATTCTATAACTAGAGAAAGAGTGGAGCTGCAATCTCTTCATTCATGAACACCATAACAACAACAGAAACGCCTCCAACTTTAATACGTACCAATAAATTCACTTCGGGGTTCCAAAACATTGTTGATGCTTATGGAGTTGGGAACTACAGAGAAGTTAATCCAGGTTTGTCCACTGACAGTTGATGAAATCTTGCACTGCATTAATTATTTATTCATTTCTCCTAGCCGTAAAAGGGCATGTGCTTAAGTATCTTGTTGAATCAAGCCCTTAGTAAAGGGGAAAATGGTGACTTCTACATTCCATTGTTAATGGCCAATTTTAATTTTCAGTATTTTATCAAGAATGCAAATAGTGCTCTGAGGAACAAGGAAGGATCTGATTTCCAATGTATTCTCTCAGCACCGCGAAAGATGGCAATAGCTAATTATGGTATCTCCATCCGTTGTCTTGGTAATTTGTTTGCTTTTGTGAGAGAAGAATTGGGAAGAAAAGATAATCATGAAAATGGGAAACCTTAGTTATGGTATTGATCTTACACCAATATGGAGCCGGTCATCCAGAAGGATCACAAAGTACTTTAATAACTATACAGAGTCTGTGATGCATTGCTGCAGCCATCTCTGGCATGACAATGAGGATAAGATTCTATTAGCTTTACGGATAAAAATAAATCTTTATTTTTTACTCATGTTAGCAGTGTAGAGTCAATACAACAATGGGGGAAAGAGCTGGATTCTCTTCTTGCTCATGCATCATTATAATCAGAATTGTTAGCTAATTTCCAATTGCAGAATTCTCATTAGTGTGGTCCTGCATGAGCCAGAACCAACCCAGTTTAAGTGTGTAGGGCTGGGAGCTCGAGCATCTTTGGATATGTAAACTCAACAAACTTGATATGGAGTGACTGTGAGATGATAAAAGTAGAACTCCATCATACCATTTTTAGGATTACATTAGAGAATGTAACTGCCTCTTTATATTAATTTAGTATAACTTTATTAGGCAAAATTCAGATAATTGTAATATCACAATAAATATGGTTGCAATTAACCCGAGTCTGTTGTGCTGTTTTTTGGGTTTTTTTTTCCCCCCAGCCCTCTACACCATCATCACCTTCCCCTTCTTATTTGCTGTTATGTTTGGAGACTTTGGACATGGTCTTCTAATGTTTATCTTTGCCCTCTTGATGGTACTCTATGAAAACCACCCTCGACTAATGCGATCACAAGATGAGGTAAGCTTCCCCCCTCCCCCCATCCCAAACAAAACAGTATTTAGATAATTTTAATAGGACTGTTATTGTTGTTCTGAAAACTTTGTTCTTTGCGCACATATAAGATACTAATTTTGGTTGCTAAGGCTACTATTCACTCTGGTCCAGATGGATAAGGAAACTTGGTCAGAAACTAGCTACAAGAGGACAGTTTACCTCCTTTTAAAAATTTGTAGTGGTACTGATGGCAGTAGTGA